ATAGGTAGTAGGTAAGAAAGTGGCAACCAACTCAAAGTCTGCAACTCCACATTTCACAATTTTCAGAAATTTCGGTTTATCACGTATAGTTTTTAAAGCATATAATTTTAAGAATTTTTTAAGTATGTATTGTATTGTAAAAACAATTGCGAATAATTTGATACCTTAGCAAGAGTGTGCTTTCAGAATAAACCAACTTTTAAAGTTAAAATATTCTGCGATCTGGAGCGTAATTTTTATTCCAAAAACACCTTAACTGAAGGCACATTTGGAAAATACTTCGAAACGATCTAAATATTTCTATAACTACTAGTGCTTATAAAATTACATATACCTGTGAAATACTTCAAAAAAAAATCTCTATAAGTATGTAAAACCCCTGATTTACTACTTTTAATGATGCTCATTTTAGTAGTCAGAATATTTCGAGCGTGGTATCAAATAAGCTTTTTTTCGACGAAGGTTCTGATTGTTGCTCTTACTTAACTGGAGCCTTCTAAAATCAATGGCGTCCCCAGTTTTGTCCGATTGGCTCCACTTTTTGAGATAGATGTACTTGAAAACTTGCTTAAATTTTAACTATTTTATAAAAAAACTCCCTCGGTGTTGAAGATATTTTACTAAAATTTTGACCACGATTGTATTTTAATATTACCTTCACTATATAACATCTAGCTCCTATACAACTGATTGATCTCGTTGTTTTGCGTTACAACTCCTCCAATTAAACAGGTTAAAATTTAGTATAGGTTCAATTTAACATATAGCAAGCAGACAATTTATTATTCAGATATGAAGTTAGAGTTACAGCGCAAAAACACATATCTGAGTAATCAGTTGTATTGAAGCTATATGTTAATGTGAACCTATTTCGATAATTTTAAGAAATAATTAAGGTAATATTAAAGAACTGTTATGTGCAAAATTTTAGTAAAATAACTTCAAAACTGAGGGAGTTATTTATAAATTAGTTAAAATTTAATCATATTTTCAAGTACCGTTATCTCGAAAACCGGAGCTAATCTGAGGGAGTTATTTATAAAATAGTTAAAATTTAATCATATTTTCAAGTACCGTTATCTCGAAAACCGGAGCCAATCTGGTGAAACGGGGCATGCCATTGAACTTAGAACGTCCCAATTAAGTGAGTTCAGCTTTCAAAATCTTTGCTCAAAGTTTACAACTTGAACAGCTTATTCTTTTGTCTTCTATTTCATGTTTATTCCCCGTCTAACTTTTGAAGCGCTTGATGAAAATGAATTACACTTGTATTAATCGATTTATTACGAGATTACGAATAAAATGATAGATAAGACATAGGTGGGCTCACAAATTTAAAAATAAAATTTTTTTTTTTGAAAGTGTATGTATGTATGTATGTATATGTACATATATGCACACACATAGGCGTGTACATACATAATATATATATTTTGTACATACATGTCGTCGTTTAAAGTACAAAACCGCGTATCAACAAAATGCAAAACCGCGTATGTGAGGTTTGCATAAATTATTTTATAGAGAGTAAAAACACTCATATTTCAAAATGGTTCTCTTTTTTATGAAGCAATCGCATTTCTGGCTAGTATATTTCAGGACGAATGGATAAGGATTCAGCCAAGAGCCTGTGTGAGCAAATTCAATTTTTGGCAGCAAACGTCAGTTACGCGGTTTTGGAGAATGACGATACGCGGTTTTGTACTTTAAACGACGATATGTATGTATATGCCAAGCTTTGTTTATTTGTTATCTTTTATTTTCAAAACGCAATCAAGCTATTTTTAGCCTTTATGTTTACGATTGAGGAGCTTTTGGTCGTCATCATAGGTTATTGACAGCAATTTTACAAGCTAAGCGCAGTGTTTGAGCTAGAGAGATAGTTTCGATAGTTTGAAAAATACTATCGATATTTTCGATAGTATCGTATACTATCGTGTTGTATATATAGGGAAACTTCAACTCCGAACAAATATGTACATATGTATATATAAATATTACATCTTAAGCGTGAAATTGTAAATATTTTCCTTACCCAGCTATTATGAATCCATACGAAACACGATAAACGCTTGCATTCTGTTGTGCGGTATTACGAATTTAATTCTAGCGTATGAAATTCGGTAGCTACCGTTTATCGTATGTTCAATTTCATACGCTTGCAAGCGGTTGTCCATTTTTGTACGACACGATACGATTTAAAAAAAAAATTAAAATAATGTAAGCATTAAAATGAATAACATGAACTTATGGACACGATTTGAACAAAATACCGCATTTTTTCAGACCGAAAATTGCGAGCACAAAACATCAAGATGAGCGTGTTGCTTCTCCGAGGGGTACGGTTTAGTTATTTGTACAGGGATTTTCGATTGTTGTGCCCAAACGCGTGATCCGAATCTAAAAACTTTAATATACACATGTAGCCAAAGGATTAAACTTTTCAGTTGAAACAAAAAGATTTCGAACTTCAAAGCACTAGTTTATTGATAAACTCGGTTTGCAGTATGTACATTTTTTTAAACACAATAGAATCCGTAGGTTGGGTTAATCCAAGTAACGCCTTATTGCCAACACTCTGTTGGTATGATCTCTAGGCAGTAAATCTCGGAGTTGTGAAAGCCTTTAATATATTTGGTATGGACGGTTTATTTTATGTGGGCGCAAGTCGTTCTTCACTTTTGTTAGAACATACATATGTATATAACAGTTTGGCTGACTTCCAAAACGTATCAATACAATGTTTGGAAACTGTTATACTGCGGTATTCAAACTGTTCGTATATGGGTGTTTGCATGAAAATGTAAACCGAAAATGGAAGCAAATGAATTCAAACGGTTTTATATCTTTAAATTTCGTATTTAGATGGCGGAAGAAGGTTTTGAAAACGCGAAACAATGGAGAGAAGAACTGAAAAAAATTAAATTAAATTACATTATTTAGCTTAGTTTAGGGATTTTGAAAGAAAAGAAAAACTCCCATGATTCGCAGACTTTCGCATATACGTATATGTGCCTTAAAACCACAGATATTTTCCACACTAAAGTTCCGAGGCTGCTTAGTTTTTTCTCAAACATAGTACCCTTTGGTTGCGACATAACCGTAATCTTGTTTTTCATTAACTTCCATTTTTGAGAGATTTAAGTTACTCCATAAGCGTACGAATGTCGCGTACGGCTGCATGGAAACACCCATATGCAGAGTTGCGACACATTGCAACCTTATACATTGCATATTTTAAATACTCAATTTATCAATTAACAATTTTTCTGAATTTTCCATTTTTAAAACAGCAATGGTAACCAAAAACAAACGAAGCATCAACTTTGTTTCTGATGCACTGATTGCTCTAGCGATGCGTTTCGATAACTTTTCGAATGCGTTTTGGAAAAGTATACATTGTCAACATTTTGTAGTTCGGCGTTATGGGACATTAAAGCTGTGACAGACGACAAAGCTTATGCATATAATCTGGCATACATATGCGCATAATAATTTTGACCTCACAGACGGCAGTTATGCGGATAAACGAGCCGCAAGGTCGTGGGTTCGAGTCCCACAACCAATTAAATTTTCATTTTTTTTTATTTTTATTTCATTCTTTTTTTTATAAGTTCTATATTTTTTTTACGTTGCTTTCAGTTAGTTGTTGTTGACTTTTTATTAAAATTCAACTCTAAAAATTTAAATTAACTGATAGTAAAATAAAAAAGTGATATAAAATAAAGCAAATGAAAACAAAATAAAGTAACATTAAATATATAGATCAAATAAAATATAAAATAAATAAAAACAAAAAAAAATTTCGCAATCGCTCCAACCGAGGATCGAACCTGGCAGCTACAGGCTTGTATCCCGTAACTCTTACCACTCGGCTACTGCGGACGCGGAACACGCGCGCTTTGTTTGCTTACTTGTAGAAAAGACAACAGCTGACCAGTGTTGTCAACGAAAACTGCCCGGATCCGAGTTAATTCCCAAAAATTTCGTGCATTTGTTCGGCTGCTTATGCGCATATTAAAGAGGAAAATGCATGAGTCAAAGCAAATAAAGGCTGGTTATGCAAATAATCGAGCCCGTTTGTCTACCGTATTATACTTTGTACGTATGCAAAGCAATTGACGTTTTGGAGGTCAGCCCTTGTTTCTAAAATTGAAAGTTTCCCTGAAATCTAAAGATATTCTTTTTAATAATTAACAAATAAAACTTATTGCAGTTACAAACATTATCGAGTGCACTTCCAGAGGATTGGAAGCATTTCTCAATTGCCTTCTTCCTGTAGCCTCTATGCAAGTTCATCAATTTATTCATTTTAATTTCTATAAAACGCAATTAGGTTGAAGGAAACATGTTTTTTCTTAATTTTGTATGGCTCATGGAAGCTTTCGAGACTTTTAAGTATAAAATGTTTGCTTTGAAAATATTTTAGCTATATCAGAACAGCTGTTTCATTTAAATACACAACAAATGGTAAACAAATACCACTGCCATTCAAAATAGTACATCTATCGGGCGTGGAATAACCATAATACGAAAACTCATTTTATACGATACGCTTGCAAGCGTTTATCATCTATCTATTAAAGTCCTTAATAGGGGGTTAAGTTTAATTTACAGCGTCACTTATTTAAGTAAAGATCACAAAATTTCAATGCACCGGCACTATCGAAACTATCAACTATCGCCCAAAAACAATCGATGTTTTTCCATAAATAAAACTATCGATAGTACAATCGATAGTTTTCCAGCTCTAGTTTGAGCGAACAACCGTAAATGAAGCGCGAATGATACAATGAAGAAAGCAAATATATTTTTTGATAAATAAAACACTTTTTCCAACTCACTCAACTCAGTTAATGATTGTTAGGGTAGCTTCTATTGTTTTTATTACGGTATGCACATGGTTATATATGTACATATGTACATGCACATATATCTTTCGATAACAAACTAATATTAGAGCGCTATCATCATATATAAAGAAAAATCGTTATTCTCACCAGCTTTTGCATATTAAATATCGATTGAAATGGTACATTTCTCACATTATTTGAGATAGGTTTTTATGAAATTCCCACTACACTTTCATCAAAAAGACACACATTATTCTATTTCTTAGAAAATTATAGCGAAAGTTTATTAAAAACAAGTTGTGAATGACATCTAAATGGATTTACGAGAAATTACCAACTACTTATTTTTCACATGCCCGCACAAACCAAAATAACAACCAAAGCGAGCGAAGTTGATTGAAAAACTGAGCAACTGAAAAACACCCTTCGAATTTAAGACGAGAGAACGCAAATGTTGCGTGCTTTTAGCAGCGCAAAATGTTGCAAAGAACATATTTATGTATGTATGTAATTTGTTTTCATGTTTTGTTCGATTTTAACGTCGAACATGTTACAGATAAGTTTCATTTCACAAATGCATAAATACGTATATAGGTTGAACATACCCTGTTGGAAAATCGACTACATATTTTAAATCAATTAGTTGCACATTCATATACATACATAATCTATATATATAAAAATGAAATGTTTTCCGTGGGACGGCGATGCCTGACCAAACGGCTGAACCGATTTCAATTCTGTAAAAATCACATTTTTGGACCTTCTGTGTGGAAGGTTCTTTGATTTAAAAAAATTTGAAATTTTTTGTTGTTGTTGCCGAAAAATGAAGAAAGCTGAGACGTCACGATTTCACAATTTCATAGAGTTTTCCGTATATTGAATGTCACTAACCTACTAAACGGCTGGACCGATTTCGTTCATATTTGGAACATATTTCAGCACCTTGAAGGCAAATATTTCGACTAAAAATCTAATCGCTAGGTGTCGGGATATTCATAAAAATTGCATTTACTTGCTGATTTGGCTCATATTTAGAAAATAATTAGGCAATTTAAAAGTAATATTTTGACTTGAAACTTACACGATAGGTGGCCCTGTGGCCGAGACATCCCCAAAAATTATTTTACGCTAAGAGAAGGATATATCTACTATATATTTGTGGAAGTATGTATGTATGTATGTGCCAGGTTGCAGCCTAAACGGACGGACAGAATCGAACAAAATTTTGTTAGAGTATTGCCATGACACCTGGGCCTATAATAGGGTAAAAAAATTGGGATTCGACAAGGGGGCGTGGCACTTCCCATAGGCGTGAAATTTTTAATTTGCCATAACTTCCAGACCATAAGTCACACGAACTTGAAATTTGGTATGCAGACATATCAATGGTAGGTGCTTATAGGAGAGTATATATAAATGTGTTTGTAAAAGGGGGCGTGGCACATCCCATAGGTGCGGAACTTTTTATCAGCTATAACTTCAGAAGCATAAGTCACACGAACTCAAAATTTGGTATGCAGACATATCAATAGTAGATGCTTACAGGAGGGTATATATAAACGAGTTTGTAAAAGGGGGCGTGGCACATCGCATAGGCGCGGAATTTTTTATCAGCTATAACTTCGGAACCATAAGTCACACGAACTTGAAATTTGGTATGCAGACATATCAATAGTAGGTGCTTATAGGAGGAAATGTATAAACGAGTTTGTAAAAGGGGGCGTGGCACCTCCCATAGGCGTGGAATTTTTAATCAGCCATAACTTCGAAACCATAAGTCACATGAGCTTGAAATTTGGTGTGCAGTCATATATATGGTAGGTGCTTACAGTAGAGTATATATAAATGACTTTGTAAAAGTGGGAGTGGCACATCCCATAGGCGTGAAATTTGTTATCAATCATAACTTCGGAACCATAAGTAACATGAACTTGAAATTTGGTATACAGTCATATATATGGTAGGTGCTTATAGTCTGGTATAAATAAATGAGTTTGTAGAAGTGAGCGTGGCACATCCAGTAGGCGTGGAATATTTTATCAGCTATAAATCCGAAACTATAAGTCATATGAACTTGAAATTTGTTATTCAGTCATACATATGGTAGGTGCTTATAGTAGGGTATATATGAATGAGGTTGTAAAAGTGGGCGTGGCACATCCCATAGGAATACTTTATCAGCTATAACTCCGGAACTATGAGCCACATGAACTTGAAATTTGGTATGCAGACATAACTATGTTAGGTGCTTGCAGTAAAGTATATATAAAGGGGTTTGTAAAAGGGGGCGTGGCACATCCCATAGGCGTGGAAATTTTTATCAACTATAATACATGAAATTGAAATTAGGTATGCAGACATATCTATCGGTAGGTGCTTACAGTAGGCTATATGTACATGAGTTTGTAAAAAGGGGTGTGGCATATATAACTGAGTGAAACATAAAATCCGTGGAAAATTAGGAATCATAAGTCAAATAAAATTGACAATTGGTACGCAGACGTATCTATAGTAGGTGCTTATATTAGTAGGCTATATATAAGTGAGTTTGTAAAAGGGGGAGCGCCACGTCCCATGGACCTGGAATGTTTTATCAGCTATAACTCCGGAGCTATAAGTCGTTTGAACTTGAAATTTCGTACGCAGCCATTTTAATGGTAGGTACTTATATTAGGGTATATATAAATGATTTTGGAAAAGAGTGCATGGCACATCCAATAGGCATGGAATTTTTTATCAGCCATAACTTCGGAACTATAAGTCCCACGAACTTGAAGTTTAGTATGCAGATATATCAATGGTAGGTGCTTATATATAAATGGGTTTGTAAAAGGGGGCAGGGCACATCCCGTAGGCGTGGAAAATTTTATCAGCTATAATTTCAAAACCATAAGTCAAATGAAATTGAAATTTGGTACGCAAACGTATCTATGGTAGGTGCTTATAGTAGGGTATCTTAATATATAAATATCCCGTGTCAATGTGTTCGTTTACGCTAATCTCCGATACCGCTTAACCGATTTCAATGAAATTTTGTGGGTGTGTATTGTTGGTTCCAACTTAATAGATATGATAGTTGTGAACCCGAGAAAAAATATTATTTTTTCTCATCGAAATTTTTTCTATGCTTCTCGCATCGTGCTTACCTAATATACATATAAAAATCGAGCTCTTCCTAAACGGCTCAACCGATCTCTATGAAATTTTGTGTTATATATGGTAGGTATGAGAATCGGATGTAAAGTATATTTCAGGGGGCGTGGCACCTCCCATATAAACCGAATTTTTCATAGTGCACATCTCTGGAAGTGTTAATGGTAGACTACTCGAATATGGTATGGAGATATATGAAAACATTTGCATATTCATGGATAAAGATTGCGGTTATTGGAAAAAGTTACGTGGCACCTCCCATACAAACCAAATTTTTCATACTGCATATCCCGGAAAATGTTCATGGAAGAGGTCTCGAACTTGGTATGGGGATATATTGAAGCAATCGCATACTCAAGGAGATAAATTGTGGTTATCGGAAAAGGAGGCGTGGCACTTCCCATACACATCGAATTTTTCATACTGCATATCTCTGAATGTGTTCATGGAAGAGTACTGGAACTTGATATGTACAAGATATATAAAACGCGACTGGTCATGAAGAAAAGTTGGGGCTATTGGAAACAGGGACGTGGCACCTCCCATGGTAAATTACTCGAAAATGGTATAGAGATATATGAAATCAATCCCATGCTCTTAGAGAAAATTGGGGTTATTTGAAAAGGGGACGTGGCGTCTTTCAAACACACTGAAACTATTACGTATCTTTTTATGCATGTACAGTTTTGCTAATTTATTTAAGACGGCAAATATGCCTTCTGACAACCACCAAACCGTAATATTAGAAGACAAATGCGTCACTAAAAATCATCATCGTGAACTCTTAGTGAAAATGTTTCAATACACGGTTAAAAAATTTCGGTTTTAATTATAACTTTTTGGATTACATATATGACCAAACTCGTCGTCGGCAACATCTCGCTCACCTGCGCCCATGCCCTGACGGAAGAGAAATATGAGGCATCTAAGGATCTCTTCTGTGAGCGTTTGGAGCGCACGTATGAGCGCTGTCCACGGCATGATATCAAATCGTGCTTGGCGACTTCAATGCTAGGGTGGGCAAGGAAGGGATCTTTGGAACCACCGTCGGAATATTCAGCCTCCACGACGAAACTTCCGACAACGGATTGAGGCAGATCGACTTCGCCGGTGACCGAAACATGGTAGCATGCAGTACTAGGTTCAAGCATAAAAATATCCATCAAGCTGCGTGTCTGTCTCCGGATCGAAAAACGAGAAACCAAATCGATCATGTTGTGATAGAAGACGGAAGGCACGCTTCCAGTGTTTTAGACGTACGCCCACTCCGAGCCTAAACATCGACTCGAAATACTATCTTGTTGCAGCCAATATAGGCATCCGCCTCTGTGCAGAAAAAATAAGCGCCCAAATATGCAAAGAAAGCTTAAGGTCGAAAAGCTGCAATCACAAAAGACAGCCATTGCTTTCGTAACTCGACTCTCACATTTGCTCTCAGAGAGCACTCTTCAACAAACCGACATATGCGAGCAGCGGAACCACATTTCGCGCTCATTATGTACCGCCGCCGAAGAAGTAGGCGGATTTCAAAAAGCTCGAAAGAACAACTGGTACCATGAGGAGTGTCAAGTAGCTACAGAGAAAAAAGATTCCGCCTACAGGACAACGCTGCGGTCGCTACATTATGTTCATGTCGTTGTAAAGCTCATACAGCTCATCGTTCCATCGTCTGCGGTACTCGCCGTCGCCAACGCGTAAATCTTCCGCAAAATCTTTCTCTCGAATACTCTTCGACTTTCGACCGAAATCGACTTTTTACTCCCCAAATTCGAATTTAAGTGATCGACTCTAAGTTTATGGAAGTCGACTGAAGTCGACTTTTCACCTTAGACTCTCGACTTTTTTTTATTTATTTGCAGTGGCGTCTCTTACATTAAAACTGATATTCTAACAAGGGAGCGGAGTGCTCGTATTTAAAAAAAAAATGCCAATAAACTTAATGTGAAAAGTGTGCTAGAGATATGAATTTTAATGACAGTACAACAACATTGTTAAATCATTTAAGAGCAGTGCATAAATTTATTACGCAGCATTTTTACTGGATTTAAAATGCAACATTTAGCACTTTCGAACAGCGTTCATGCTATCGCATTTAGCAAATGTATATCTACGCGAGTTCGAAATCGTATGCTTTAGACAAACAGCCGTATTCCAGTCGCTTATTCAGATCCGTATCTATCACGATCAATTCGCACAGAGAAGATAATATGCAAAAAA